AGCAACGAGGACGCTTGGAGACGGGGTAGGTTTTAGAGGAGATGCTGCTGAAAGGAGCGAGCAGGGCTCTGATGCTGAGAGCTCTGGCGCTCAAGTTTTCCGACTGCGAGAGAAGGAGGCTGTCGAGGAGGTGGTGACAATGGCGGCGGCCGATGCCGCGAGGCTCGGGGGGGACGAACTGAAGGCGGAGCCAGGGCTAAGTAGGGCTGACGAGGCAGGTGGTGACGGGGGGGTATGGAAAAGTGACCGTGTATTTTCGTCGGCAGGAATCGAAGACGAGACCACGGCGGATGACCGGGAAGAAAGAGAGGGTGCCGGCCGCTCGTCTGTGCCCTCGGCGGCTCCGCTTAGCTCATTAGAGGTACCTGTGCGCTCAGCAGGGGGAGAGGGGGTAGTAGCGGGTATCATGGAGCTGCAGGTAGAGAAAGTGAAGGCATCGAAGCAATCCCGTTCTGTGGGGCCAACGGGGGAACTCAACATCAATCGAGATGTTGCTGGGTATGGTGGTGGGGAGCAGGATGTGCATCAACTTTCATACTGGCAGCAACATCAAAATGAGCAGCTGCCGGCCACGCCATCGCCGTCGAAGAAGCAGGAGTTGGAAAAGCACAGCAAAGCGTGTGGGACTGCTGCTTCTCCTTTCGGAACGAATGGGGCCTTGGCCACGCCGATGATGAAAAGTAGCGGGGCGGGAGGTAACGGCAGTAGCCGTGCCAATAAGAGGCTGTCAGAGTCGCGGCTTGAGCGAAAGCAGAACAAGCGTGGGAGGCGCGACAAGGTGGAGCCAGAGAGGAAAAAGGACGAAGAAGATGTCTGCTTTGTATGCTATGACGGTGGCGAATTGATGCTTTGTGATAGGAGGTTGGTTTGCCTCTCTTCCTTTTTCTGCCCCGCTCTTCTCCTTGTAGTTGACACGTGGCGGGTTTATCTATGTCACTTCAGAATTATAATATATTGTTTAGTCATTTCCTCCTTACCCTTGCTTGAGCATGCCTGCCTACCAGTTGCTAGATCGGTTACCGCTCCGAGAGAGAGTGCATTCATGATTGAATTCGCGCGTGTGCGCGCCCATTGATTGACGACTTGTCGTGGGTGCTCTTGCGAATATATGGGCGGGCGGGCGGGCGTGTGTGTGTGTGTGTGTGTGTGGTGTG